ATACAGGTGCATCTCACTAAATTAGAATGTCATGGAAAAGTTTAACTCAAATTGTGAAACTTGTGTATTAAATAAATTCAATGCACACAGACTGAAGTAGTTTAAGTTTTTGGTTCTTTTAATTGTGATGATTTTGGCTCACATTTAACAAAAACCCACCAATTCATTATCTCAACCAATTAGAATACTTCATAAGACCAATAAAAAAACATTTTTAGTGAATTGTTGGCCTTCTGGAAAGTATGTTCATTTACTGTACATGTACTCAATACTTGGTAGGGGCTCCTTTTGCTTTAATTACTGCCTCAATTCGGTGTGGCATGGAGGTGATCAGTTTGTGGCACTGCTGAGGTGGTATGGAAGCCCAGGTTTCTTTGACAGTGGCCTTCAGCTCATCTGCATTTTTTGGTCTCTTGTTTCTCATTTTCCTCTTGACAATACCCCATAGATTCTCTATGGGGTTCAGGTCTGGTGAGTTTGCTGGCCAGTCAAGCACACCAACACCATGGTCATTTAACCAACTTTTGGTGCTTTTGGCAGTGTGGGCAGGTGCCAAATCCTGCTGGAAAATGAAATCAGCATCTTCAAAAAGCTGGTCAGCAGAAGGAAGCATGAAGTGCTCCAAAATTTCTTGGTAAATGGGTGCAGTGATGTTGGTTTTCAAAAAACACAATGGACCAACACCAGCAGATGACATTGCACCCCAAATCATCACAGACTGTGGAAACTTAACACTGGACTTCAAGCAACTTGGGCTATGAGCTTCTCCACCCTTCCTCCAGACTCTAGGACCTTGGTTTCCAAATGAAATACAAAACTTGCTCTCATCTGAAAAGAGGGCTTTGGACCACTGGGCAACAGTCCAGTTCTTCTTCTCCTTAGCCCAGGTAAGATGGCTCTGACATTGTCTGTGGTTCAGGAGTGTCTTAACAAGAGGAATACGACAACTGTAGCCACATTCCTTGACACGTCTGTGTGTGGTGGGGCTCTTGATGCCTTGACTCCAGCCTCAGTCCATTCCTTGTGAAGTTCACTCAAATTCTTGAATCGATTTTGCTTGACAATCCTCATAAGGTTGCGGTTCTCTTGGTTGGTTGTGCATCTTTTTCTTCCACACTTTTTCTTTCCACTCAACTTTCTGTTAACATGCTTGGATACAGCACTCTGTGAACAGCCAGCTTCTTTGGCAATGAATGTTTGTGGCTTACCCTCCTTGTGAAGGGTGTCAATGATTGTCTTCTGGACAACTGTCAGATCAGCAGTCTTCCCCATGATTTTGTAGCCTAGTGAACCAAACTGAGAGACCATTTTGAAGGCTCAGGAAACCTTTGCAGGTGTTTTGAGTTGATTAGCTGATTGGCATGTCACCATATTCTAATTTGTTGAGATAGTGAATTGGTGGGTTTTTGTTAAATGTGAGCCAAAATCATCACAATTAAAAGAACCAAAGACTTAAACTACTTCAGTCTGTGTGCATTGAATTTATTTAATACACAAGTTTCACAATTTGAGTTGAATTAATGAAATAAATGAACTTTTCCACGACATTCTAATTTATTGAGATGCACCTGTATACAAATATTCATTATATTAAATCTTAAATGTTGTAAATGTTGACATCATTGGTTCAAACCATTTTGCTTCAGGTGTCTGACATATGTGACACTCACGTGTAGTAGCAACACAGCAGCAAGGAAAGACTGGCCTTGACAGTAACCAATTTCTTCATCATACACAGAGTATGCCTGCGGGATGGAAGATACAAAATGTTTCAGTGAAATTATGGGTAGAAATGCTTAAAAATAACTGCTTATTATAATATCATAAATATTAAAAAACAAAGACACAAACATCAACTGTGCAGTTTTACAAATAAGGGTAACACTTTAGTATAGGGAGTAATTCTCACTGTTGCTTATTAGCATGCCTATTATCAACATATTGGCTGTTTATTAGTACTTATAAAGCACTTAATCTGCATGACCATATTCTACATCCCTAATCCTACCCGATACCTAAACTTAACAACTACCTTACTAACTATTAATAATCAGCAAATTAGGAGTTTATTGAGGCAAACGTCGTAGTTAATAGTTTGTTAATAGCGAGAATTGGACCTTAAAATAAAGTGTGACCCAAAGAATCATTCTTGGTAGCATCGTTCTCTCAGCTCTTTAAATCTAATTTCTGCTTTCACCTATTCAAACTTGCTTGCGATTGGTTACGAGACACATGCGAGCTGAAGCCATACCTAGAGCTGCCTGTCTTTATGTGGCACATTTGAATATGCAGAAGTGCAAGTGAGTTTTGAGAGCTTGATGGAATGCTTACAGATTGACCTACATACCTCAGAAAACTGTTAAAAATGTCAGCTAATATTGTGACAATTACAAACTGTGCTAATAAACTTTGTGAACTGTGGATTGGGAGAACTGAATCACACTGTGTGGTCAATATGAAAAATCTATATTGCTGTATGAATGATGGCGGTAACAGTCGGAGAGAGGGCTGGTTAATTATTAAGAGACCCCCAAAGATGGAAACCCAACCATCAATCTCCTCATTCCCCATATCATTTGTGACTTTCACATTAAACCCAGCGACCTCATTCTTTTAGGGTGAAAATTTGAGATGATTTGTAGAGTGTTTTGTATTTATTAAACATTCATTAAACTGAACTTCCACCATGAACATACTGCACTGCAATGGACTGCTCTTTATATGCTTTAAAGCCAACTCATTGCAGATGTCCAAAACACAAATAAAGATTGTGTTAAATCAATCAATCTATCTATCCATCCATCGGCTGATATACATCCAATATATCTGTCCATTCATCCATCTATATATGCTTCAAAAATTTTATACACTCATCTATTTCATCCCTCTATAGTTATATATCCATCCATCCATCTATATTCATCCAACCATTGATACATCCATCAATATATCCATTCATTCAACTGTCTACAAGTCTATAATTTATCCAGCTATATCCATTCATCCATCCATCAACATAGCTACCCAACCATCTATATTTATCTATCCATCTATGCGTCTAAAATGTATCCATCCAACTATATACTGTATATATTAATCCATATACAGTGGGTACGGAAAGTATTCAATTAAATTTTTAGCAAATGGCTGCAATATAACAAAGAGTGAAAAATTTAAGGGGGTCTGAATACTTTCCGTACCCACTGTATGTCACTGTCCATTCTTTCAGCAATATATTCACCCAATACATTGATAATCAGTCTTTATCCATCCATCAACCTATATTCAACCAATCATCTATACATCCATCCTATCACCTATCCACATACCCATCTATCTATATATTCATCCATCTATATATTCCATCCATTCAACTATATATTAATCCATCTATCTATCTATATAGCCATCTATACACCAATTTATATCCATCCATCTAAATATCAATCATCAAAATACATCCATCAAGCTACTGAATCTATAAATAAGTATCTATCCATCTATATATCTATACAGCCAGCCATTCATCCATACCTCCATCTACATCTATGCATCAATCACTATATCGATCAATTTATCCATCCATCAGTGATTACTATTAATCAAGTGCATGCTTCCTTTGGCCACCTTGCTAGATATCAACATAAAACAATAACCTAAATTAACCATTTGAACCATACCCATCACTCAATCACTCAATATATACTGTATATACTGTATATATATATATGAAATAAAAGCTTATAAATAAACTGGAACAGTCCAAAAGTGCACATTTAACTTAATGGTAGGAAATTGATTTTGCAGAGCTGAAGATGATAAATGAACAGAAGTGCAGAACAGAAGTGCAGAATCTGAGCTGAGCAGACAAATTGAAAGTAAACGGCAGACAGGTCATCTGCTCACCTTACAGATCTTATAGAGAGAGTCCTGCCCGTCACCGCCCGTGTCTTTAAAGTAGTCGTGTGCAGGAAACGTACGGTTAATATCACGAGTGATGGCACTGTCCTGTGGGGATTCCTAATAAAAGACAAGAGAGAGAAACAGAGACATTTTACCATGAGGCAGCTAATAGTCTGTAATGCCAAAATCTAAAAGTACATTGCAATATATAATACAATGTAAAGATAAAAAGTATGTGATTTCCATCCCATTATCAACACAAAATGGAAGTGCAAAAATAATGACAACTCCATCTGTCTTTGCACAAACGGACCATACCATCCCAAACTCTAGCCTATGGTTGAGCCAATGTTGTTGTGTCAAGCTGGCCCCCATTCACTTTCATTGTACTGTATATAGACAAATAAAGCACATGTGACTCCTGTCCACTAGAGTGCAGTGGATAGGACATGCCAAAGGACAAACACATATAGGGCAACAGTATCTGTCTGTTGGAACATGGTGTTTTCATCCCCGCAAAGCAATGTGGACAAACCAGGGAGGACATGCATGCATGTGTGTGCTCAAGAGTGTGTCCTTCGGCGTCGCAGATACACAGAGTATGTTGAATACCCCAGAGGCTCAGCGTATGTTCGAGTGTCAGAATTTATAAGAAATGAGGAATAAGTCTGTTTGGTCACATGTACATGTATGGTGGAGGCCATCTAGCAAACACAGAAAATACTAAAGCTTCCTCAGAGTATTTTTCATGATGGAGCAAAACCGTCCTGAGATCTTTTCTCCTCCATGCACAGCTCAGATGTCTTTTTTGAAGCTTGACAGCTCTTAGTCATTGTGTGTTTTTGTTATATTGTTATATATATATATATCAGGAGATCAGATTACCCATGTCTTTCAGAAACACAGATGAAAATCATGAATTTGTCCAAAAGCTTGGAACAAACATCTAAACTGTAAGCTGGTAGATGTGACTCCACAGACGAATTGAGGACTGTTATCTTTCGCTGGCTCTCTTAATCAGCCAATTAAAGCCACTCAGAAAAGGACACACGATGCAATCGAACCAAGAGCAGCATCACAAGACTGAAAGAACATGTAAAATGTCATGACAAGCCCTGTGGGGGGGGTGCCATGAGGAAGATAATGAAAGCAAAAGATAGACAGGGAGACACACTCTGGAGGAGATGTTACATTACCACTCCACTGGAGTTCACTGTGATCCAATTCCAATCTCTTTAATTTAAACGGGTTACTTGGGATTGTACTGTAAATTCCTGTGGATTTGAATTATTTAAGATGTTGCTGAAAAGGATGGCGTGTAACTGAAGAAAGTAAATGTTCTAATTCTAATAAAGGATAGTTTGGTAACCAAACAGTATCCATTGACTTCCATAGTATGTCAACTTTTACCAACATTCTTCAAAATATCTTCTTTTGTGTTCAACTGAAGAAAGAAACTGAAACAGGTTTGGAACAGTCAATGACAGAATCTTTCCCTTTAAGATTTATGTATGTGTGACCAAACGATGCCATTTTAGAAACAATAAGCCTATTTCTTCTTTGATGGCCATTCAAAAGGTTCCGTATATTCTCACAAAATAGTTTTAGGCAAGAAACATAAATTGCACAGAAGAAATGTTTGTTCAGGCTGCTAAAACTAGCTCTGCACCAACCCCTCAAAACTACTGGTCAGAAATCAGGAACGGCTTACATTTGTAGTCAGGTATAATGTCCTCACCATGTAAAGTTCTCAGAACAACAACAACTCTCTAGATAGACAGACACAAAAAACTAGAGCACATTAAACTAGATTGCTCCCTTAATAAACAAACTGTGAGCGCCTGGAGCTGCAGACTGTTGATGGGCACCTGGTCCTATTTCTGTCACACTGCAAAACCAGCCACTTTATTTTCCCATCCATTATTGCACACGTTACATCAAAGCCAGCTCGTGATAGCACAAAAATGCTGAATTAAATTACTCTGGATGCTAAAATTTGCTCTCAAAACTAAGAGTCATAAAGTGCAATGGAATGCCCTATGTTTATTTCTGGCCCGGTTATATAGTAACAGTTAGTTATGTCGCTGTTCAACTCAAGCCATCCTTAAACTAGTCGATAAATCAGTCTTAAAAGCAGCCCTTCAGTAGAGTTGTGAATATTTGGGTTAACTGTATCAATACAATTTACAACTCAAATTTTGGAATCAAGATTGACAATGCAAAATATTACATCATGCCTGTCAGTTATATACATGAATGTCTGGAATAGTGAGTATGATAAGTGGAATAGTGAGATACTCGTACAGATTTGGAACAACTTGAGGGTAAGTAGTTTTGGGTGAACTATCCCTTTAAGAATGAACTATCTATCATAATTTAAGTGATTATTAAATGTGCTCTCTAATATCAGAGATGCAAGAGGAGAAGAGTAATGACTAATTACTGCGCATCTAACACACAAACACATATACACCTGCCTAAGCATGAGCGAATTCTTGGTCTTTCTGTACAACTCTCAATTACATACATCATAATTGTGTTATATGCATGAGCACCATTATATTAACATATAAACGTCTTCAAAAATTAATGGCATTAATATAATTGATGCCACTATGTATTAAAATGTTTTTGAAAGAAGTCTCTTATGGGCTTGTTTATTTAAAAAAATTTTTTTTAGTAAAAACAGGAATATTGTGAAATATTATTAACATTGCAAACAACTGTTTCCTATTCAAATATATTTTCAGATTTAATTTATTCTAGTGATGGCAAGGCTGCATTTTCAGCATCATTACTCCACTTATTCTAATATGCTGATTTTTTTTCTAATTATCATCAGTGCTGCTTAATGTTTTTCTGGAAACCATATTTTTTAAGGAGTCTATGATGGATAGAAAGTTCAAAAGAACAGCATTTATTTGGAATAGAAAACTTTTATAACATTCCACATGTCTGTGTATCATTGTTAATCAATTTCATTTCATTAAAAAAAATGACTGTGCCTAAACTTTTAAATGATAGTTGTGATGGTACAGAACTGCAATATTTTTAATAAATCAATAAAAAATACAATAAATTAATAAATCAATTTATTGTAAACCTTTGTTATTTAAAGTTAATCTGTGAACAAAAAACATATTTCATTTATCAAAAACGTAGAGACCGCAACCATGAACAGTTTAAATATCTGACACCAAGCTTTTATCCTGGTAGAGATGGGGACTCTCCTCTGGTTTTCCCAACTCTCTTCGGGTATGTACGTCTGGACGGTGGGGTTCAGTCTGAATTCAGGACACCATGTTTTATTCATCCTCTTTCCAGCACAAGACTGCAATCTTTGCCAAAAAGCATGATTAATATCAGTCGCCGCGCTCTTACCTTTCTTCCATCATATTGAAAAAATGGTGACTGAAGGAATGGAACAAGGCAATGTTCGCCTTTCATCGCCTTGTTCTATTCCTTCTGTCATCAATTTTCCAATCTCTCTTTTGCCTCTGACAAGTCGCCATATGCATATCCAACCAACCTAATTCACACCATCCCACATCTAATACAAGTCAATTGCCACCTGCTAGCAACAGTACCAAGATTAAAGCCCAGGAAACAACCTTCAGGGAACATTTGTTTTCCAAAGAAACGCCAAACAGACTTTGCGTGTGTGCGCGCAGGGTACTCGAAAGCGCTCCCACACATTTGCGGTAACAGCGGATTCCTGCCTTAGTAAGCATACCCCTTTTCAAATATTAATTACCCTCTCTTTCTATAATTGATGCTATGTTTATGTGAAAGAGAGGAGCCACTAAATAATGCATCAGCAGCCAGCAGCTCAGCAGCTATGCAAACTCAGGCCGAACGCGAGGCAGACTGACCCACTGCTCACGCCGGCACCGGCCTGCAAGATGAGAAGAGAATGGAAAACGGAAGAAACTAGCAGAGGGCTATGTTGAATCCAGTGGACTAGAAGCAGCTAAAAATAGGTCAGTCTGAGATCAGAGTATAATCGAAACAAGTCTGACTAGACTGCACCTTACCTAAAGCACGTCTCTGAGGAAGATCAGATCGCGCTCAGAGAAGGTGATACAAAGTGTTTAGCCTTAGATTAGAGCAATCAACTGCTGGGAAGGAAAGCAGGTCTGGACTGAAGGACTATATGGCAAAATGTCCCAAGCTAATGTCTAAAAAAATGATTTAAGTGACTAATTACTTAAAAGGGTAAAAAAAAAAAAAAAAGCTCAAAGAAAACTATAATTTTAAAATGCACATGCCAAGAAGTTTACGTCCAAATGGTCTTGATAACATTTTCAAAAATACATATATAGATAAAAATGATGAGTCTGAAAATGTCATGTGGTTTAAAAATTAAAAGTAAAATTTTCCTTACACCTTAATATTATTATTCAAAAGTTTTAATATAATAGTTTTTAAACAATAGACAGTACAGTAGACAATATTTTTCAAATGTTTATAATCTTTTAACAGCACGGTTTCACTGCTTATTTTTTCCTAAGGAATAATAATAAAAGATGCCAAAATCCTCAAAGTTTTCTTTTAAAGAATTTTATTCTAATGAGCTTTTTTCTTTTTTTAATTCATTCATTCATTCATTTTGCATCATTTGTTTTAACAGCATGAAAATGTTGACTTCACACTCGGAATATTAAAAAAAAATTAATTTTAATTTAGAAATGAAAGATGTTACATGCATCAAACATCAAATAAGTGGTGCATTAAAATCACTGTATGTAGGAATTGAATTATAAATAAATAAATAAGTAAAGGACCACATAAAAGTAAACAAAAAGCAAAACAAAATTATGTCATTGACCCAAAAGTGGAATTAAAGAATTAAAGAAAAGCAAGAACGCAAAAAAAATGGCAGGAAAAGATAGATAATAAACAACGAATTAATGGGTGAAGCCAAAGAAACTGCCATGTTTTTTTTCTTTCCGAAGGTTTTCCGAGACTCTTTCTCACCCTCCGTCCTGACACTCCAGGAGGAGGAAGTCTGAACAGGTTCAGGGTTTGCTGGGAAGACACAGAACCTGATGTCTCAGATAACGAGCCATATTTATGCTTTGTTAATATTGTGGAAAGTCATCCTAGACTCAGAAAAG